GAAAGAATGTGTTGGTAAAGGCAAATCACTCCTGTGCTACTGGGCCAGTATTGTCGTACATTTTTTATTTATTGAGGCACCTCGCTTTATTGCTGGACGCAGAGTTGCAAGGGGCGGAAATTTATGATGGAACCTCTAAAGTCGGCCTCAGTCCATTCCACTGGTAGATCTCTGGCTTGTTCATATCTTGAAAACAGGGGAAATGATGAAAACTGAATGTAACGGTCACAGGGTCAAAATGACACCCCTGGTTATTATGCAGCTGGTCGTCTGGTGAACTTGTTTTGGCGGTTGTTTTCTTATTTTTGTTGACCTATTGAACTAAGAGCCTGGACAGAGACATATGCGGCGCAGATCATTGCTAGGCTGCTTCTATATCGCAGTACATTCCATTTCCGGTTCCTCTTTGACATCATTGGCACCAGTCTGATGATCTCACGAAAAAAAAACAAGCCAAAGAAAAAAGCTGAACACATTTTTGTAGGACCTTCAGATGCAAGTGTAAAACGATATGCCCAAGTCGTATGAGATTTGTTGAGGTCCTGTTTGAAGTCATGTGTCAAGTTTTTGTACAACTTACTAGCCGTTTTTATTTTCCTGTCTTGAACTCGATATTGTTTGCCTTTAAGGGCCAATAGAATTTAGAGGTTCCATTATATTTCCCAAATTTCTCCATGGGATGTTTGAGTGGGGGAATATTGAAAGTTACATTTCAAGGATGTGGCTTTTTTTTTCTTTTAAATTAATAGATTTTTTTTTTACATTCAAAATGAATTAAATTCAAATTTGGTTTATTTAGGTGAGTAGTTTATTGAAAGAAAGAGTTTATGCTTTTTGCAGTTGGCTGTGGGTTGTAAAGTGCAGTGCAGTCTGCCAAATGAATTGACTGTATATGTCTTTACAGGGGGCTGCAGGGGGGAGTATATATTTCTGTGAATTCCCATGGAAAATGTCCACCTTTTGCAGCCCTAATTGGATTATCTAATGGTCAACCTACTCACAGTATTGCTCCCGAGGCACTGCAAGGTGGCGCAAACTGGGTCTGTGCTTGATTCCATGCTTACAATGGCGAATTCAAATTGTGCAAACATGCATCGAAGAAAGCGACTTGACATCGCCCATTCTTAGATGAATTGATGGAGGATGGAGATTAGTGGGTTGTTTTTGCCATGACGCTTAACGGTCAGTCAATCTGAACCTGTCGGAATTCTAAATATAAATTGGTGAGCGCTTATCGGTGCAAATTCATTGCCCCCACGGCCACCTCCAGCAGCTGGGCATCAACCTTCATCTGTGCAGACGTTGCATCAAGTCAGAATTCTTGCCGCAAGTGTTCTTCGCTGTGGATTTTCATTTCACGTAGTTGTCCTTCACTTTATTCCACGTGTGGTGAGTGAGAGACACAAGTTCACAACTTGTCCGCAGAGATTTGCTATTTTACATCTGATCATGCGTGCTATATAGGACAATCTCTATTGCGACGGCTCTTTGGTAGCCTCTTAGATTTGTTGCTGTTAGTTTCGTGAGCATAAAATAGACACTGAAGCATAAATCAGTTGGCACACGACATCACAAATCATCTTTACCGCAGCAAGCTTGGAACAATAACCCAACAGCAAAGTGTGACACTCTTATGATGTGTGTTGCTTTCCGAGAAGTTCAGAGACGAGTTTGAACACATGGCACCGTTGCCAGAAACAACTTTCTGTTTTCTGTCGCAGTCCCCAGTGTTTCTTTGCGCGTTCATTGCCTCTTGTTTATGAGTTCTATTACAGAAATGCGTGAGGCTCTATTTTCATAGATGGAGCATGAAAACTGAAAGCTAACTGATATTCATGCTAGCACGAGGCTCCCTGCGTATGTTTGCCATTTAAGCAGACCGGTCTGCACCAAGCCGGGCATTCCGGTGCCTGGCGTAGTGACAATTTGGTGGTGGCAAGAAGTTGGTCTAAGGAGGTTCTATGCCTGCTGAGATCACGTTTAAATCTGGCACAGCCTGTAGACCGTAACAAGAGTTGAGTGAATTTGAACGAGGCACAGGCAGATATGTGAGCTCCGCCGACTTGTATGGTATGTTACATTCCGATTAAGGAATTGAATTCTACCCATCAATACCGTTTTCTGATCCGCTTACCCTCACAAGGGTCGCGGGCGTGCTGGAGCCTGTGCCAGTTGTCTTAGTTGGCAGTAGGTGGGGTACACTCAGAACAGGTTGCCAGCCAATCGCAGGGCACACAACCATTCGCGCTCACACTCACGCTGAAAGACAATTTAAAGTGTTCCATTAACCTGCCATGCATGTTTTTGGAATGTGGGAGGAAACCAGAGTACCCGGAAAAAACACACGCAGGCATAAGGAGAACATGCAAACTCCACACAGGAAGGCCAGAACCGGAATCAAACCCTGCACCTCTGCACTATGAGGCCAACGTGCTAACCAGTCGCCCAGCGTGCCGCCCGATAAAGTAACCCATTAAAAGTAAAGTAGCCATATCTTGCCACACGCTTCACAATAAGGCACTATAATATCGAATCAGTGTAGAAACTTAATAAAAATGAAACTTGACAATTCAATAAAATGAAAGAATAACATAATGATATATCACTGTCATAAATATGACTGCATATATAACTTAATACAAATTTTGCCAATTGTATTCACATTCTTCTCCAAGTCACAATCATCCCTTTTTCTTTAGGGGTTTTGGTTTCCACCCTAATATTTTGCGATGACTGCCTTTCTCGTGTCCTTTACTCTTAAAGAAATCACTGATTGATTCCATGTCATTCGTTTAGTTTCCCAATGTAGCCTACAAAGAGACTTTAATGTTACAGTTCAGTGACATTGTCTCACTATTGAGCACAACAGGTGGGGGCAGACGATATTGTTTGGAAGGCAACAACATTTGCAGTGAAAATGCAAATGAGCCTCAATATGCATGAGAATGTAAAGCATATATAAATGCTGATTTGCATATTGATCCTAATAGCACCTTAATATTAAAGAGTGCTTATTGAAATGTTTGATATTTTGTGGGGGGGGGGGCAAGACAAGTGTTTTGATTTTTTTTTTTGTATTGTATGAAAGGTTTCTGCCATCAGTTCAAGATAATTTCCCTTGAGGGTTGTGATTTTTCGATACGATCGACTGCATGTGTCTTTATCTGTTTCTATAAAGTTATTGCCATTTAATGAAATAGAAACCTGCCCAAGAAGACAAACGTGCATGTCAGTTTTGCTGTTTCTCCTCCATTGTACCTGCTTCTCCTTGCATTTCTCCTCTCACCGCTGGTCCAAAAAACTAAATTGTAGCATGCAATTAGCATGTTACAGTTTATTTATTTTCAACTCCCACGATCGATCTGTGTTGTTTATACAGCATTTATTTCTCTTTTTTTTTTTGGTTTTGTTTTGTTTTTTTTCTTGCATGACACTCTGCTTTCCTTTATTGTACATGATTATTGTCAAATGGTTGGTTGTGAAATGCTTTGTAATGGATTGCCTTAAATTAAAGTTCAATTTAAAGAAAAAAAACCCACTTGCAATATCATTTGTGGTTTCAGGGTGACTGTGTTCTGCATCGAATAAACTTTATTTGTCTGATTTGTTGGCTGATCAGCGACAGGGGCAGCGTGACTGATGTGGCTACTGACCTTGACTTGACAATGAGGCTGTGATACTTGCGGCATCGGTGAAGGTCCATGTTTTTGCACCAAATTCAAGTATGTGTGTGACACGTATATGACCTCCGCACTTCTGTACTACAGTCAGCAGATGTCTTCGACACAAAGTTGAGGTGGCGCAGAGCCACGCTGTGCTACTCTTGCACCCATTGCCCAACCTGACTTGACTCGTCTGATTGTGCATCCATCAGAAATTGCGTGGAAGCGACCAATCTGAGAAACGAGATATAAGTACCGTATTTTCTGCACTATAAGGAGCACCTAAAAGCATTCAATTTTCTCAAACGACGACAGTATTGTATTGTATTGTATTGTATTCCCTTTAGTGTAGCTCCATCTAGTGGATGCACAACGCAAACGCAGCCACTATTGCAGCTTCTATTCCATGCGCCTTATAATGCGATGCGCCCTATATATGAAAACAGTTTTAAACTTGGCCAATCATTGAAGCGTCTCACAGTGCAGAAAATACGCTCATAATGTAAGGCCTCCCAAACAATCTAATTTCATATCGGTCATCATCAACCTATCCAGACTTGTTTACTTCCACCGCAATCATAGAACACTTTACCAGCACAGCTTTCTGTTGTTGAGTCAGACT